TGAGGGAAGGATGGTAGGCAGGAATATTCCCCTCCCCATTTTCCTGCCATTTGCGATAAGGAGTGGCTGGGAGGGGAGGGGCCAGTGAGGAGCCCCTCAATGTAAGTGATGTCGAGTTGGCCATGCCCACCCAGTCACATGACCTCCCCCCCCCCAACAAGCCACAGAACCGGTAGGGGAAATTTTTTAATTTCACCACTGCCTCCAAGGTCTGTTCTATTCTATATTCTATTCTATATAGGTCAAGGGACTACCTTTATGCAAAAAAAATAATAATTACCCTTTGATTAAGTATGTACTGTCCCCACCTGACCCTTCAAAAGAGTTTTAAAAAAAAAATACTTACTCTCTTTCTTTCTCGGTCAGTTTGTCATTAATGTTATCTTTGATTGCCGACCGGGAGCCCTTGTGAATGATTGGATACCTGAGTGGTACTTGCAAGAAGTAGGAAATCATGGAGACCAGGTGAGCCGTATAGCCCAGAGCGACGGCAATGCTCCCATCATCCTTTGCTGCGAAGAAGAGCAAACAAGAGCATGCTGTTGAGTCCAGCTGACCAATTCAAGCTTTAAGAGCAATCCAGATTTTTGTCCAGATTTTTGGATTCGTTTTTAATTGAGGGATTTAGATTGTATTTGTGGGCCTTCGAGTCAGAGCTGAGTCCGGTCAGACTGCCTGGACAAATCCTTGCAGTTTTCCAGGCAAGATTTTGGAAGCTGTTTGCCATTGCTTGCTTCCTAGGGCTGAGAGGAAGCGACTGGCCCAAAGTCAGCCAACTGTCTTTCATGCCCTGGGCGGGACCAGAACTCACAGTCTCCTAGTGATCAGCTTAAAGTCACCCAGCCAGCTTACATGCCTAAGTCAGGACTAGAACTCACAGTCTCTTAGTAATCGGCCCAAGGTCACCCAGCTGCCTTTCATGTCGAAGGTGGGACTAGAACTCACTGTCTCCTAGTGGCCGATCCTAGGTCACCTAGCCCACTTTCATGCCTAAAGTGGGATTTGAACTCATAGGCTCCTAGTGATCATCCCAAGGTCACCCAGATGGCTTTCATGCCTAAATCAGGACTAGAACTCCCAGTCTCCTGGTTTCTAGTCGGATGCATTCATCACTACACCAAACTGGCTTAATTGAGGTACAGATACCCAAACAGAGTGCTTCAATAACAAAGAATTTGAGCTGAATAAAAGGATTGCAAATGGCAATTTTCATGCCCTGCACTGCTTTTAATTTCACTCAAAGTTAGCTGTTCTGTATAGCACCTTTCCCAAAATATCTCTTGTCCAGGGAAGCCATCATTCATGGCCAAAACAGCAATCCCTACCAGGCCACATTCCCCGCTAGCTCACAACTTCCTTCATCTTTACCTCCTGTTCATTCTCTTCCTTCTTCCACCTTTTCTTTTTTCTTTTTTCTTATACAGAAAACTCAGATTTAAATGAAAGGCAGAAGGATGTTAGTGGAGGAACTAACTTATCGTCTATGTGTCTAAGTTTTCTGTATAGAAAAAAAAATACATTTTCTGAGGCAAACCTTAAAAGACATCACAATTTTTTATTTGTATAAATTTGTGCCAAGGTTTTGGCAACAAGAGACAACACAGGAAACCTTATGAAAAGAGATATTCGATAAAAAAAAAAAAAGATTTAGGGAAAGAGGGGAGGGTAGGAAAAAAAATATATTTCGTTAGTTCAAAGATCTTTGATTTTATGGGTGAACTCTGTGGTTCAAATCTGTGTTTTCCATAGCCCCCTGCCTTTAATCCTTCCCCTCCCCAAAATAAAAAGATGAAAGCAACTCTCTGTCAATGCAATCTTATTTCATTTTCCTCCCCAAAATTTTTAACCATACTGTGGGACAACTGATGAGTTTGTAAAAATGTTAACAGCCTCACAGGCACTATCAAATAGCGGCCTTAAAAAAAAACATCCAGCTGTTGAGGGATATCGAGATGGCTTCCTTTCCCTCAGCTTTATCATCTCGTTTTGCTCAAGTCCAATTCATAAAACATTCTATATAAAGCTAGGATCATGCAGTTGTTTTGCAGGTTTCTTCTATGTATGGGCAATATGGCTTAAAAATAGGAGTAAAATGCCTCAAGGATACTGTTCAAGGACTGAGTCTACTCCAAGCTTCGCAATTTTCTCGCGCGGTCTGTAAAAGAATTTGCAGAGTAACCCTTGAGTAGCAAGGGTGTGCACATGAAAGCGACTGAGAGTAGTTACGAATAAACACAGTCAACACACAGATGCACTGAGTTGTGTTTACTTTCAGGAAATAGTAAGGCACAGTCCAATAAACAGTCCAGGTCATACACATATAAAGCAGGAGATAGCAAAACGACAGTCCAGGGATAATCCAATAACAAAGTCTTCTTACCAGTTGTCATAGTCATTCACAATAAACAGTTCTTCTGAATTTGCAAACAGTAGCATACAGAGATATCAGAGAGCAAGAACAGCAAAGAGAAACAAACCATGTTTCTAGCTCCCTCTTAAGGAGATTGGCTACAGAGCTAACCAATCAGGACACAGTATGATGCAGTCTTAAAGCTATATTGAGGATTTATATATTGCCAACCCAACAAGGTAGGTAATAATCATTTCCTAACATGGTGTTTCTCAACATGAAGAGGTGTGGATTTTCAACTCCCAGAATTCCCCAGCCAGCAATATTTTTTTTGTCTCAACAACAACAAAAAACACATTTTTAACACAACTGATGGGGGGGCTGGGGGAAGGGTTTCTGTTCCATTGGCATCTTGCACAAAATGAGATAACAAAATGAGCAGGTAAAATGCCCAGTTACCTTGAAAGTTTTCAGAATTGGGCAACTTCACTCCACAAATAAGATAATCCTCTTGATCATTCTGTGGATTGAACAGCAGAAAGTGAGGTTGTATCAGGGCCACGTTTGTTGATAAACTCCTGATTCTGACAGCAAGCTAACATACATACTGGACATACAAATATATATACATGTATGTATGTATGTAAAGGTTTCCCCTGTCCAGTTGTGTCTGACTCTAGGGGACGATGCCAAGGGAGCCAGCGTTGTCTGAAGATAATTTCCATGGCCATGTGGACAGCGTGGCTATATGCCGAAGCACACAGAACGCTGTGACCTTCCCACCGAAGTGGTACCTATTTATCTACTTACCTTTGCATGCTTTTGAAGTGCTAGATGGGCAGGAGCTGGAGCAAGGGACGGGAACTCACCCGTTGCATGGAGTTTGGGCAGTGGTGGGCTGCTGCCGGTTCGGACCGGTTCAGGCGAACCGGTCTGAACCGCCTACCTGCCTTGGCACTTGCTCACATTTTTGGTTCTGGGCGAACCGGTTGTTAATTCATGTGCCGCCCACCTCTGAGTTCGGGTTTCGAATCCGGGCTGTGAGCTTTCCAGTTGAAAAGCTCAGCATCTTTAACCACTGAGCCATCCCACCCATTTCTCTCTCTCTCCCTCACTCCCTCTTCACCTCTCTCCACCCACTCACCCATTCATCCATCCATCTATCATCCATCCACCCATCTAAAATTTATTACATTTATATGCTGCCTCTTCCACTTTAAATAGTACCTGACTGTCAAGTGCTAGCTGATCCCTTCCCCAACCTCAATTATTTCAATAAATACAATGGAAGAAACTGCAGGCAATCCTCAACTTACAACTATTCATTTAGTGACCATTCAATGGCAATGAAAAAAGGGACCTATGACTGTTTTTCACACTTACAAGCGCTGCAGCATTCCCATGGTCACGTGATTAAAATCCGGACGCTTGACAGCTGACTCCTATTTATGACGGTCGCAGTGTCCCAGGGTCACATTATCCCCTTGTGCGACCTTCTGACAAGCAAAGTCAATGGGGAAGCCAGATTCGCTTCACAACCGTGTTATTAACCTAACAACTGGAATAATGCACTTAACAACGGTGGCGAGAAAGGTCGTAAAATGGGGTGAAACACATTTTAATAACAGTCTCGCTTAGCAATGGAAATTGTGGCCTCAAGCGTGATTGTAAATTGAGGACTACCTGTACTGGCCTCTCCCAGCCCTATCACCCCTCTGAATTTAAGACCCCAGGAACTGACTCTGGAAATACCGTGTTTCCCTGAAAATAAGACCTCCTCGGATAATAAGCCCAATCGGGCTTTTGAGAACGCATGTGCTAAAATAACGCTCCCCCCCAAAAAATAAGCCCTCCCTGAAAATATTTAAATGCATGTGCAGCTGGTCCCTGCCATTTCCTCTGGTTAGGGTTAGGGAGACAGAGCTGGAAATCAGGTAAGATGGCAAGAAGAGCCCCAACTTGCTCCACGCGCCCCAAAATAATAAGACCTCCCTGAAAATAAGGCCAAGCACTTATTTCGGGGTTCAAAAAAATATAAGACAGGGTCTTATTTTTGGGAAAACATAGTATATGGATGCAAAACCTTATATTCCAACTCAAGAACTCTAGGCTGCTTGAGCTAAGGTCATTTTTGTTCATCATTTCATTTCATTTCATTTTCATTTCATTTTATTTGATTTCTATACCGCCCTACTCCCGAAGGACTCAGGGCGGTGCACAGCCAAACAGTAAAACACATACATACAAAATTTAAAAGTAGAATTAAAATCAAATTAAATAATTTTGGCCCAGACAAATTAAAACCCCAAACTATTTCAAACCAATTTTAAAATTGAATATATAAAATACTAAAAGATATTTAAAAAATTAAAAATCTTTTATAAAAGAGGGAGAAGATTAGGCCAGGCCCGCCTGGTGAAATAAAATAAGGTCTTTAAAGCGCGGCGGAAGGTGCGCAGATCTGGGATCCTCCGTATCTCCGGGGGGAGCTTGTTCCAGATCGTAGGTGCCCCCACAGATAAGGCTCTCCCCATGGGGGCCGCCAGTCGGCACTGTTTGGCCGATGGCACCCGGAGGAATCCCTCTCTATGGGAGCGTACCAGCCGGTGGGAGGCTATTTGTGGTAGCAGGCGGTCCCGTAAATAACCAGGTCCTAAGCCATGGAGCGCTTTAAAGGTGGTAACCAAAACCTTGAAGCGCACCTGGAAGACCACCAGGAGCCAGTGCAGCTCGCACATCATGGATAGTTAATGCTTAGGATAACTGACGTTCAGACTTTCCTCCAACATAAAAGCCGGACACTTAACTAACCTCCCGAAAATGCCCTTCTTAGAAAAATCCGTCACTCACCGTATCAATAGGATAAATACAGGAAAGCTCAGAGAGCAATTGCCTACGTCTGATGGTCAGCTGAGCGTTGGTCTTCAAGAACTGCTCTCTAGGGAAGGAGACAAAAACCGGCCAATTAGGCAATGATGACTTCCTGAAGGAGCTGTCAACACAGCTATTATTCTGAGACATTATTATTTCTGCCCCATTGAGAGAGAAGCAGTACTGTTAACTTTCAATATCCGGTGTAGCTGGCTAAAAGGGCTAACTTTAAGAAGGGTACATTTCCTGTGTAATGCGCTGACATGGCTATTAGAGGGGAAAAATGATGGCTTGGGAAGTTTTGACTTAGGATCTCGTTGTCACAAGAAACTCCACAGATGAATTTATCTGGGCGGAAGAGATGCCTAATGAGGAATGTCCAACTAAGGGTAGCAAAGAGTGTTAATTTCTGGAAATTGTGAGGAGCTCTTGAAAAAAAAAGTATTGTGCAGCACAGAAGAAAACTTCACGGGAAAATGAGAAACGCAACAATCGGTCACTATTTCTGTCTAAATGCCTTCCTTCGCCATTAATGAGGGATTCCAATATTTTAATTTGTAATTCAGGGTGTTCAATTTCCAATTTTTAGTACTAAATGGGTATTTCTTAAGATCCTGGGCCACACTTCCCCTTCAGATCAGCTCAGTAGGTGTTGCAGGCCTTATCTAAGAGAATGACCCACTAACTGTATATGTTGTTATTGCTGGCAATTGTCTTCAGTCGAAAAGTCGTGCCCAACTTCCCATGACCCCCCCAAAGACCACAGCACACCAGCCCCCCCCCCCGTCCTCCACTATCTCCCTGAGTCCACCCAAACCCACGTCCACCGAATCAATAACACTATCTATTTACTTCGTTTATTTGGCCAAGTGTGATTAGACACAAAAGAAGTTTGTCTCTGGTCCAGAAGCATTCAGTATGCTTGCAAAACAACAGAATAAATAATAACATGTATAATAATATATACAACAGATGATAGATAGATAGATAGATAGATAGATAGATAGATAGATAGATAGATAGATAGATAGATAGATAGAGATATATAGATCGCAATTTGCAAATTGAAACTGAGCGATGGTGGAAGAAGAAATCACTGATTGTACCAATAGTCATAGGAACCCTTGGAGCAAAACCCAAAGAGCTGCCTAGATACATGGAAATCCTGAATTTACTACTCCTGAATATCCTGACTTTGCAAAAAAAATAAAAATAAAAAATCCGACTCAGAACTGCCTATATACTTAGACGCTACTTAATAGCTCTTAGGTCCTTGGTTAAGACTTGAACTATTTTTACCAATCTCAGACTGTGAATCGAATTGAAGATTAAATCTTAAATAATAATACTAAAGTGTACAGCCAATAAAAAGGGGAAGTAAAAGTAGAAAATAAAAAGTAAAAAACAGCAAAGAAAAAAAATTAAAAGGGATAAACAATAATACAGCAGCCAAACCCTGTGGGTTAATATAGAAGAAAAAAAGCTTGGTAGTCATTGAATTTTGTCAGCTGCGGAAATTAGGTTTTCAGCAAAATGATGGACACCTAATTCTCATAGCAACTAATAAGTTTATCTAACTAACTTTATCTTTCTAACCATCCCGTCCTCTGCCTTCCCCTTCTCCTTTTCCCTTCCCCCCTTTCCCAACAGCAGAACCCATTTAGCGGCCAAAGTATTTGAGTTTTCAGCTTCAGTATCTGTCCTTCCAAAGGACAGTCGTGTTTGGTTTTCCTTTAGGATATATGTTTGTTGTTAATATATGAAGAAGCGAAATATATGCAAATCTCCCTGCCCCGTTCCAATCCGTTTCAAGGGGGCTTTTTACCTCTTGGCAGTGCATTCCTTCCTTAATTCTTGCAGAGGTTCCTTATCTGAGAGGAGCTTTGAATGTTCTTCTTCAAACTCTTTTCCTACCAAAATCATTTTAGGGAGAAGAAAATAGCTAAAGTTAGTCTTCGGTTGTGAAGACTGGCAATTAAGCAACAAGTTTTAATTAGTTAATTAGTTTGATTAGTTAAACCGCTGGCTCAGGAATTCTGGGAGTTGAAGTCCATAAATGGGGTCCTGGTTCCTCATCTCTGTTCTAGAATATTCTCCCTCCAGATAATCAAGATGACCCCCAACCCTGTTGGTCTTTTGCAAGGCTGTGAAAGCTCGCTTGTACAATCAGGTCTGGGACCCCGAGTGATCAACATTTGGCGGTAGAAGCAGGGAGGTTGAGGATGGTTTCCCCCATTCAACCTAATCTCGCAAATGCACAAATGTTTTGTCACATTTTTTTTTTTTTGCACGCTTTCCCACCTCTTGCACGGTCCTGTTCCCAGTGGGTCACCGGTACTGGTCTACTGACTGAGGATTAGGGACCCCAGTGTTAAGGCCTGTTTCCTGGCTGTATTAACATCCACAGTAAAATATTTATTTTGTACTGTCTTAATTGCTTCGTTTCTGACGGGTCCCTCTGAGCTTGGTTGATTTCTTGCAGACGTTTCATTAGTCTACCCCTAACACTGACGAAGAGGGACGCGGTGGCTCAGTGGCTAAGACGCTGAGCTTGTCGATCGAAAGGTCGGCAGTTCAGCGGTTCGAATCCCTAGTGCTGCGTAATGGGGTGAGCTCCCGTTCCTTGTTCCAGCTTCTGCCAACCTTGCAGTTCGAAAGCAGGTAAAAAATGCAAGTAGAAAAATAGGGACCACCTTTGGTGGGAAGGGAACAGCGTTCCGTGCGCCTTTGGCGTTGAGTCATGCCGGCCACATGACCACGGAGACGTCTTCGGACAGCGCTGGCTCTTCGGCTTTGAAATGGAGAGGAGCACCGCCCCCTAGAGTTGAAAACGACTAGCACATATGTGCAAGAGGAACCTTTACCTAACACTGATGATGTTCCCTAGTTGGGTAATGAAACGTCTGCAAGGAAAACAACCAAGTTCAGAGAACACCAAGGCCCCCTTCATTTCAACCCTGAGCTACAAATATTCTCCGTTATTGTGCTTGGTTGTTGGGTGGCATATGACGTACGCTACCCAGAGTCGCTTGTTGAGGTGCAGGGCCTATAGAAATCAAATCCATAAAACAACTTAGAAGTTAAGAGACAGTATAGCAATGTTGTTGAGCAAGGATTTGAACCTCAGGATCTAGCACAAACGCTGCAGAGTGAACCAATTACAGGTAGTTCTCGAGTTACGACCACAACCAAGGCCAACATTGCTAAGTGAAACATTTGTGGAGTGAGTTTTGCCCCATCGTAGGACTTTTTTTGCCCCAGTTGTTAAGTGAATCATTGCATTTGTTAAGTTAGCAACACGGTTGTTAAGGGAATTTGGATTGCCCGCTGATTTTGCTCGTCAGAAGGTCGCAAAACGGGGTCATATGACCCCGGGACCTTGCAACGGTCATAAATATGAACCAACCGCCCAGCGTTGATCATATGACCATGAGGATGTTACAATGTGTGAAAAACAATCACTTTTTTCAGTGCCTTGTACTGGTAACTAAATCTGGATCAATTCAACTGGATCAATTCAGTTGGAAGTGAAGTTTTAACTATTCCTTGGTAGTTTATTCAATTTAAGCATTTGTTCTTGGGACCACGTAGTCCAATTTCTATTGCTGCTTCTTCAGCCCCACGTCTGCTTAGAGCAGTGTTTCTCAACCTTGGAAGCTTGAAGATGGGTGGACTTCAACTCCCAGAATCCCCCAGCCAGCGCTGCTGGCTGGGGGATTCTGGGAGTTGAAGTCCACCCATCTTCAAGCTACCAAGGTTGAGAAACACTGGTTTAGAGCTTTTGAAGAAATCAACAAGAGGTTGTGAAAGCAGTTAAGTCATTTCACTGAAGAAGCAAGCTGATTAAAAAAGAATGTTTATTATTTATTAACCTTTGGAATATGACTCTCGGGTCCTATTCTGGTAAGCCAGAGCAGAGTTCATTTAAAGAATATTAAATTAGTCTCTTTCGATCACAAAGTAAGATATGGAGAGTTTTTTTTCTTGTTTCAACTAAACTGGACATTTTAGGGAATTTTTAACAAGAGCTACTTGCGGTATTTTCTGCTCTTGAAAATATCATTCACGTGCTCTGGGATTCCCTGTTCACATTCTGGCGTGAAATCTCAAAAAGTTGTTAACATGATTTGGGGCTGATATTAAGGGCGTGTATATGTTCTTCTTGGCTTTATTCTCAGGACTTGGAATATTTCAAAAAACGGTGAACTTTTCACACATAAGAGATGGCCAAGAGCCTTCGAAGAATAACTCTACGTTTGATACGCAGCGACCGATGGCTGTGTCATCTGTCAACCTCTGAGGCAGCTTTGTTTGGCAAAGGAATGGGTTTTAAGAGCTATTTTTATATCTTTTTTTTTTCAGATTTTGTCCCATGCTGTTCTCTGCTCTGTTTAAAATTGAGGACAAGCATGTCATCTCTAGGGTTAATTTTAAAGAAGGGTCTAGCCGTGAACGCAGGATTTTGCTATTTGCTGGTGTTTCACTCATTACAGCTAGTCCTCAATTTATGGCCACAATTGGAACCAGAATTTATGTTACTAAGCAAGGCGGTTGTTAAGTGGGGCGTGCCCAATTTTGCCACTGTTTTTTTTCCAATATTTGAATCATGTGGTTAAGACAATCCGGCTCTCCTTATTTATTTTGCTGGGAAAAATCACAAATTTTATTTATTCCTTTTATATCCCGCTTCTTTTATTTTTACCAATAACTTAAGGCACCAAACATATCTAACACACCTTCTACCTCCTATTTTCCCCACAACAACCACAACATTGTGAGGTGTGCTGGACTGGCCCAAAGTCACCCAGCTGGCTTTCATAGTTAAGGCAGCACTAGAACTCAGTTTCCTAGTTTCCAGCTTGGTGCCTTAACCACTAGATTGTTTAACCACTAAACTGACCCACAGTGATCATTGTGTTAAATGCACAAATTTTGATCATGTCACTGTGGGCATGTTGCAATGCCCCCACAATCATAAATGCGAGGACTGGTCACAAGTCACTCTTTCCAATACCGTTGTAACTTTGAATGGTCACTAAACGGATGGTTGTTAAGTCAAATGCTACCTGTACAAGCATTTTACTCTAGAAACTGTAGTTTTGTCTGTCTTTTTCAGACTTCATAAAGCAACGGGAGATATTAGGAGAAGATCTGGGATTAAGGCGTTGGGAACTCTGAACCACCATGGTGGTTTGAGGGAGGAAACTTCTAATCTGATCACTCATGACCTACAGCAGGGGTATCCAATCTTGGCAACGTTAAGACTTCTGGACTTCAACTCCCAGAATTGCCCAGCCAGCCATGTGGACTTCAACTCCCAGAATTCCCCAGTCAGCCTTGTGGACTTCAACTCCCAGAATTCCTCAACCAGCCATATGGACTTCAACTCCCAGAATTTCCTAGCCAGCATATGTGGACTTCCAACTCCCAGAGTTCCTCAACCAGCCATATGGACTTCAACTTCCAGAATTCCCCAACCAGCCATGTGGACTTCAACTCCCAGAATTCCCCAGTCAGCCTTGTGGACTTCAACTCCCAGAATTCCTCAACCAGCCATATGGACTTCAACTCCCAGAATTTCCTAGCCAGCCTTGCGGACTTCAACTCCCAGAATTCCTCAACCAGCCATATGGACTTCAACTCCCAGAATTTCCTAGCCAGCCTTGCGGACTTCAACTCCCAGAATTCTGGGAGTTGAAATCCACAAGTCTTAAAGTTGCCAAGATTGGACACTCCTGACCTACAGTATCACCATGAAAGATGTCTGGCTACCATCTGAGCAAGACACCGAAAACATAAGGACGCCAGTAACAAGCAACCAGAGATTGCCAAATAATATTTTTTTTAGGAGCAACCTGCTCTGAAATAACTCTTCCTTCTTGGTCGTTAGGCTGCGGGGGGACACAATAAGACTAGTATCATTCGCACTCACCTCTTTCAAGTAGTGCGGTTTGTTCCTTATGCAGTAAGGCTACTTCCCGTCCTAGGGCTCTTTTCTGCCTCTCTAGCTCATTCTGAAGCACCAGAATCTTCAACTGTAAACACTCACTCTCCTTTTTCTATAAAAACAAAAACAAAGGATTGCTCAGAATATATGTAGACACTTCTGGGAGAAACAACCTGTGAATACTATATATTTCAGTGGAAAATAAGATTATAGCCATCTCGGAAGAGGTACCAATTGAAGAGAATATTTGTAACTCAGAGTTGAACTGTGGGGTCCTTGGTTATTTTCTTGCAGACGTTTCATTACCCAACTAGGTAACATCATCAGTGCTAGAAGTTACAGGAGTTACAGAATAACAGAAGGGACCTCGTAGGTCATCTAATCGAGGGGCCTCCAACCTTGGCAACTTTAAGGCTTGTGAACTTTAACTCCCTCAATTCTGGGAGTTGAAGTCCACAAGTCTTAAAGTTGCCAAGATTGGAGACCCCAATCCAATCCCATGCTCAAGCAGGAGACCCTATTCTATTTCTGACAGATGGCAGTCCAGTCTCTTCTTAAAAGCCTCCAGTGATGAAGTTCCCACAACTCCTGAAGGCAACTTCTGTTCCGTTGGTTGACTGAGCTGTGGTGGCGCAGTGCTTCGAATGCAGTATTGCAGGCTACTTCTGCTGACTCCCGGTTGCCAGCAGTCTGGCAGTTCAAATCTCACCAGGCTCAAGGTTGACTCAGCCTCCCGTCCTTCTGAGGTGAGGACCCAGATTGTTGAGGGGGGGCAAGAGGCTGACTGTAACCCGCTTAGAGAGGGCTGTAAAGCACTGTGATGCGGTATATATGGCTTATTGCTATTGCCAGTGTTCTAAATATCAGAAAATTCCTCCTTATTTCGAGGTTGAATCTCTTCTTGATCAGTTTCCATCCATTGTTCCTTGCCTGGCCTTCGGGTGCTTTGGAAAATAGCTTTGACCTCCCACTCTTCTCTGTAAGGATGGGGATGGATTTGCGAGGAGGAGGAGGAGGAGGAGGAGGACGACGACGACGACCGTGGGATCCTTGATGCTCTCTGAGCTTGGTTGCTTTCTTGCAGGCATTTCATTACCCTACCTGGCAACATTTTCGGTGCTAGAAGGAAGAGAGGGTTCACTCTCTTGTTTATATTCAAGCCATTGTCTATGCACTGCAGGATGAAGGCCTCTGCCACCTGTTTCCAACCACTAAGGTCCTGAGCTTTCTTTTGCCAACTGGGGCTGCCATACTTGCTGATGTTGTCACTTCATCTTGTTTTAGGTCTCTTTCATGGATGCTTTTTATCAAGGAATTACTTGGAATCCTGCATGCAGTTTTGGTCACCAGGGTGTAAAAAAGATGTGGAGATTCTAGAAAAAGTGCAGAGAAGAGCAACAAAGGGGATTAGGGGACTGGAGGCTTAAAACATGACGAACGGTTGCAGGAACTGGGTATGTGTAGTTTGATGAAAAGAAGGACTAGGGGAGACATGATAGCAGTCTTCCAATATCTCAGAGACTGCCACAAAGAAGAGGGAGTCAAGCTATTCTCCAAAGCACTAGAAGACAAGACAAAAATGGATGGAAACTAATCAAGGAGAGAAGCAACTGAGAATTAAGGAGAAATTTCCTGACAGTGAGAACAATTAATCAGTGGAACAACTTGCCTCCAGAAGTTGTGAATGCTCCAACACTGGAAGTTTTTAAGAAGATGTTGGATAACGATTTGTCCGAAGTGGTGTAGGGTTTCCTGCCTAAATAGGGGGTTGGACTAGAAGACCTCCAAGGTCCCTGCCAACTCTGTTATTCTATTAAGGGATCCATTCTACGACTGCCTTGGTCCACCTGCCCACAGTTCTTCTTGCTATGCGACCAGCCTGTTTCAATTTCATTTTTTTTTTTTTACTCTTTGGATGACATTGTTTATTTTTGTTTGTTTGTTCTCTAATCCACGTGCAGGACTTTCTATCTTGTCTTGTGATGCCCAGCATGTATCTTTCCGTGGCTCTTTGCGCCACTTGTAGCTTTTGTAACGATTGTGAGGTTAGTGTCCATGTTTCGCTGTCATAGGTTAGTGCAGGTAGCACACACTGATTGAAGTTTTCTCTTCAGGCCTAGGGGGAGGTTGTTCTTGAAAATTACGCTTAACTTGTCAAATGCCTGCCAACCATTCAAGATATATAAATATTTGTATGTAAACAGAGAGCAAACCCCACTCCTTTCTAGCACTGATGATGTCACCTAGATGGGTAACGAAATGTCTGCAATAACATAACCGAAGATTTACCATGTGACACACAACCAGAGGTGAAATCCAGCAGGTTCTGACAGGTTCTGGAGAACCGGTAGCGGAAATTTTGAGCAGTTTGGAGAACTGGCAAATACCACCTCTGGCTGGCCCCCGAGTGGGGTGGGAAGGGAGATTTTGCAATATCCTTCCCCCAGGAGTGGGGAGGGAATGGGGATTTTGCAGTATCCTTCCCCTGGAGTGGGCAGGGAATGGAGATTTTGCAGTATCCTTCTTCTGTCAATCCCACCAAGCCATGCCCACAGAACCCGTAGTAAAAAAAATTGGATTTCACCACTGCACACAACCCTGACATCTAAAAATATTGCGCTATATACATTTGCAGTCTGGAAACTCACGGCATCACACCGGCAATCTTTAATGCAAAATCACTCACAATGGACACCCATGCTACTATTTTCATTTTAGAAGGGGGAAAAAAGCAAGTTTTGCAAAGCACGCTTCCCCCCACTCCCCCCCCCCCCGAAATAAACTACCGCTCTGTCTTTTTAATTACTTTGCAGAAAGACAAATGCCGAGCACATTTCCATGACAAGCAGCTCTCAAATTATTATTATTATTGGTGGTTTTTTTTTTTACTTATTTGTTGAATTTATAGCTCTCCTGACTTCCAATGACTCTGGGTGGCTTGCAATCGGGAAAGAAATAAAAACAAGAAAACCGAAAAAGAAATTGTAAGTGGCTTGAAAGCAAACATAGAAAACCCCCTCAAAAAACCCACCATCCAAGAGGGTGTGTGGGGTGGGGGGGTTTCCAACCATCATCCTTGCCCCAAAACCTGGGAGAATAGCCAGGACTTTTAACAGCTTCCAGAACTTCCATCAAGGGTGCGAGCCATGCGGATCCAATTAGGCGAAGATGCTCAACTCTGCACGTTGCAAAGTGTTCCTGAAAGCGGTAACTAAACGCAACGTTTTCGGTTGGGTTGTTTGCGTGTTTCGTTTTATTACGGTCTTTCAAGGGAAGAATAGCAGTGGCGGTCCCGTTTCTAGGCCGACGGCCAACCTGACAAGGAGGTTTGGATGCTGTCTCTTGAACGAGACACCGATGATGTCCTAGAAAGATTAGCGAATGCTGGGAAAGGCTTGCAAACAATGGTGTAATCCTCTGGCTAGCTAGGGGAGAGCGAGTGGAGCGACGCCAAAAACTCTTCATCATTGTCAACCTGCATCACGGAGGAGTCCAAGTTTTCCTTTCTTCTCAGGGCTGACAAAAGCTGCAGAAAATCCAAGTCAAATCTTGGTAGTACAGTGGTCTAAAGCCCCGTTATTAACATCTGCTGCTTGCAATTACTGCAAGTTCAAATCTCACCAGGCTCAAGGTTGACTCAGCCTTCCATCCTTTCAAAGGTAGATGAAATGAGGACCCAGTTTGTGGGGGCAATAAGCTGACTTTGTATAAAATATACAAAAGTATGAAGGCTATTGCTTAACGCATTGTAAGCCGCCCTGAGTCTCCGGAGAAGGGCAGCATATAAATCAAATTTAAAAAATAAATAAAAAAATAAAAAAATCTTGACTCCTTGGGTCAAAGGGCTCGGCATGTGGCCACCAGTCCTCTCTATCTCGTCTGTCTTTTGTGAACCATGGCTTTATAAACTTGAGACAGGTAGTCCTTGACTTACAACTGTTCGTTTTAAGGACCGTTTGAAGTTGCAACAGCGCCCGAGAAAGCGACTTATGGGTATTTTTAACACACTTATGACCCGTTGCAGCATCGCCCGCCGTCATGGGATCAAAATTCTTGGTGCTTGGCTAAACTAAAATAATAAATTAGTATGTGTTTCTGACAGATGTGCTGTCCCAGGGGTCAGGTAAATCACCATGTGCAACCTTCCAACAAGCAAAGTTGATTGGGGGGGAGGCCAGATTCACTTAACAACTGCGGTGATTCGTTTAACAACCGTGATTAAAAAAAGATAGTAAAATGGGGCACAACTCCCTTAACGGCCTTGCTTCACAACCGAAAAGTTGGATTCAACTGCGGTCGTAAGTTGAGGACTACTTATACAGATAACTAGTTGCAAGCCAGGGTTTAGCTATCCAAATTTCTAAATGCAATCGTTAGCTACAATGGAACTAGAAAAAGCTAGAGTGGAACTAGTTTTGGTCACCACGATATAAAACAAGATGTGGAGACTCTAGAAAGAGTGCGGAGGAGAGCAACAAAGATGATGAGGGGACCGGAGGCGAAATATATATGAAGAACGGTTGCAGGAACTGGGCATGTCTAGTTTAATGTAGAGAAGGACCAGGGGAGACATGATAGCAGTCTTCCAATATCTCAGGGGCTGCCCCAAAGAAAAGGGAGTCAAGCTATTCTCCAAAGCACCTGAGGGCAGGAGAAGAAGCAATGGGGGGAAACTCATCAAGGAGAGAAGCAACTTAGAATAAGGAGAAATTTCCTAACAGTGAGAACAAGTAATCAGTGGAACGACTTGCCACCAGAAGTTGTGAATGCTTTAACACTGGAGGTTTTCAAGAAGAGATTTGACAACATTTGCCTGAAATGGTATAGTGTTTCCTTCCTGAGTAGGGGAAGATCTCCAAGATCCCTTCCAATTTTGTTATTCTGTTCGAATGGTTCCTGTTTCAACCCAGCTGGTTCCACGGCACGCCTTCTTCCAAAGCCATCATGCATCGGTCCTAAGATGGCCAGTAAAATGCACGTCCCAGCACTCCAAATGTCGGTGGTTCTTCCCGTTACTCGTCCTCAAAATCTTGGAGCATCACCCAACTGACGTGGTTACAAGGTCCACCACTCTTTCAACTGGCAGCTCACGCATCCCGATTTGCGAGAGTTTGCTTTCCCTGGCAACCCTCTCCTTCCACCACCGAGTCAACCCAGATCCTTTGTAACTGGAGAGCATTAGGAGGCCTATTAATTCGTTTTCCCCCTAGGTTTAATCCAACATATTAAGCTGTTGGACTTTCCAGATAAATATTTTCATTTAATGATAATAAAAAAAAGAGAGCTTGTGTTACGAGCACGAGGGAGAACGCTTGAGAAAACGCTCGTAATTTCGATTACTATATACGGACACCAAAAGAGTCCTCTTACATGCGAAGCTGGTCATTACGGGAGTTGAGAAAAATGGAATAAATTCTATACTTGCAGTTCATTCTTCCAAAAATTCTCTCCCGTCAGTTGAAAAAAAAAGGGGGGGGAAAGATCTGAAATGGTATAGGGCCGTGATGGCAAACCTATGGCACGCGTGCCAGAGATGGCACGCAGCACCCTCTCTGTGGGCACATGAGCTGTCGCCCCAGTTCAGTTCCGCCGCATGTGTGGGCATGCCTCCCGCCAGCGAGCTGGTCTTTGGGTCTGTGCTGCACATGTGCTGGGGGCGGGGCTTGTGCAGGGGGCCATGTGTGCATGCACGGGGGGCCTCACACGCATTGCATTTTGGGGGTTCGGGCGCACACACACGGATTGACGCCCACGCGTGCACACTTTGGGCCCTCGATCTGGAAAAGGTTAACCATCACTGGTATGGGGTTTCCTGCCTAAGAAGCGGGTTGGACTAGAAGACCTCTAATGTCCCTTCCAATTCTATTCTACTCTTCTGTTCTATATATATTCTATATCTATATCTATTCCATTCCTGTCCTATTCTAGTTCTATTCCATTCCTGTCCTGTCCTGTCCTGTCCTGTCCTGTCCTAGTTCTAGTTCTAGTTCTAGTTCTATTCTATTTTTTTTTTAATTGGATTTATATACCACCCTACTCCCGAAGGACTCAGGGCGGTGAACAGCCACAAGATAAAAACACATAAATACAAAATTTAAAAACAGAACAAAATTGAATTAAACAATTTGGCCGAAGACAGATTTAAAACAACCCGCTAATTAAACAAATTAAAATTTGCATTTTTAAAAGGGAAAAAAGGGAAAAAGGGAAAAATTAGGCCAGGCCCACCTGATGGAATAAAAAGGTCTTGAGAGCGCGGCGGAAGGTGCGTAGATCCTCTGTATCTCCGGGGGGAGCTCATTCCAGATAATAGGTGCCCCCACAGAGAAGGCTCTCCCCCTGGGGGCCGCCAGTCAACATTGGCCGACGGCACCCAGAGGAGCCCCTCTCTATGAGAGCGTACCAGCTGGTGGGAGGCTACTGGTGGCAGCAGGCGGTCCCGTAGATAACCAGTTCCTAAACCATGGAGCGCTCTAAAGGTGGTAACCAGGACCTTGAAGCGCACCCGGAAGACCACCAGGAGCCAGTGCAGCTCACGCAGGAGAGGTGTTACATGGGAACGCCATGTCGCTCCCATAACCACCCGCGCGGCCGCACTCTGCGCCAGTTGGAGCCTCTGGGTGCTCCTCAAGGGGAGCCCCATGTAGAGAGCGTTACAGTAGTCCAGGCAGGAAGTGACGAGGGCATGACCGTGTGTAAAGAGTCCCGATCCAGAAAGGGACGCAACTGGAGAATCAATAGTGGAATATTCATTCCACTATTATACTCTTCTCTTCTCTTCCCTTCTCTTCCACTCTACTCTACTCTACTCTACTCTACTCTACTCTACTCTACTCTACTCTACTCTACTCTACTCTACTCTACTCTACTCTACGCTACGCTACGCTACGCTACGCTACTCTACTCTACTCTACTCTTACATCAGAGGCTTCAACAGTCTCCATCATCCAGGTCATGGTTGTCCCAAAGGTGCTTTTTCAAGAGGCAACTGGACTTTCTTTGTTTTTCCTTGAAGACCTTTCACTCCCCATCCAAGAAGCTTTTCCAGTTCTGACTGAATGGTGCAGAACGGAAGGATTTATATTCCTTGAAGTCATCTGGTCCTTAGCCCTCCTTCTAAGAGTCACGGACTCAACATGGATGGAGTCTCAGAGAGAGTACTAACGACCAGATGACTGCAAGGAATATAAAGCCTTAAGTGAAAGATCTTCAAGGAAAAAGAAAGTCCAGTTGCCTTTTGAAAAAGCACCTTTGGGAGAGTCTGTCTGTTTGTATATTTGCAGTGTTCAAATCATAAAACTTACGTTACCGCTTACAGGTAGTCCTTGACTTACGACCATAATCGTTAAGTCCCAAATTTCTGTTTGCTGGCAAGACAGCTGTTAAGTGAGTCTTGCCCCATTGTACAAGCTTTCTTGTCACAGTTGTTTAGCAAATCACTCTGACTGTTAAGTGAATCATGTGGTCGTTAAGCGAGTCTGCCCCCCCCCCCCCTTGACTTTGCTTGTCGGAAGCCATCTGGGAAGGTTATAAATGGAGATCTCTCATGATCCCCGGGACACAGCAACTTCATAACTACAGGTAGTCCTCTACGTGCGACCACAACTGAGCCCCAAATTTATGTTGTTAAGTGAAACATTTGTTAATTCTGCTCCATTTTATGATTTTTCCTGCCACCGTTGTTAAGTGAATCACTGCAGCTCTTAAGTCAACAACACGGTTGTTAAGGGAATCTGGCTTCCCCATTAACTTTGCTTGTCGGAAGGTCGCAGAAGGGGATCACGTGACCCTGGGACACTGCGACCGTCATAAATGTGAGTCAGCTGTCAAGCGTCTGGATTTTGATCACATGACCCTGAGCCTGCTGTAATGTTTGTAAAGTGTGAAAAATGGTCATAAGTCCCTTTTTTCACTGCCGTTGTAACTTGAACTGTTGTAAGCTGAGGACTACCTGTCTCTGTTGTTTGCCAAGCGCCCAAATTTAGATCACGTGACCATGGGGATGCTGCAACGGTCGTAAGACTGAAAAACGATCATCACTTTTCTCAGTGTTGTCGTTAATTTCACATGGTCACTAAATGAATGGCCGTTAAGTAGAGGACTGCATGTACCATGCTCCTTAAAAACTATTCTGGTGGCCTGTGATTCCAGAGCCAACTCTCCTGGTCTCTACCCAACTTGTAAAGAATCTAAGATTCAATGATAGGAAGGGCAAGATTCCACTCTTGGAATCCTGCATCCAGTTTTGGTCCACACGATGTAAAAAAAGATGTGGAGACTCTGGAAAGAGTGCAGAGAAAAGCAACAAAGATGATGAGGGGACTGGAGGCTAAAACACATGAAGAACGGTTGCAGCAACTGGGTATGTCTAATGAAAAGAAGGACTGGGGGTGTGTGACATGATAGAAGTCTTCTTATATTTGAGGGGCTTCCACAAAGAAGGAGGGAGTCAAGCTATTCTCCAAAGCACTTGAGGGCAGGACAAGAAGCAATGGATGGAAACTAATGAAGGAGAGAAGCAACTTAGAACTAAGGAGAAATTTCCTGACAGTGAGAACAATTAACCAGTGGAACGACTTGCCACCAGAAGTTGTGAATGCTCCAACACTGGAAGCTTTTAAGAAGATGTTAGATTACCATTCGTCTGAAGTGGTGTAGGGTTTTCTGCCTAAGCAGGGGGTTGGACTAGAAGACCTCCAAGGTCCTTTTCAACTCTGCTATTCTGTTTGCATTGAAGCTTCAATCCCCTTTGTCCCCTTAGCACCTATCCATTTTTCTCTAATAAAATACCCCTCCTGCGCTCAGGAACTCAATTTACACAAGATTGCATTCCTCCTGTGGCATTTTATAACACCTGTCCGAGACAGACACAAACTCCCAGTTAAAAAAAAAAAAAAAAAAGCATACCAGCTCGTTGCTTGTAGACGTAAGCCTCAGCTTCTCTTCAATCTCCCTTCCTATTTTCTGAACGGTTACCTGAGTCTGCTTAATGGCACATTGCGCCCGGTGGAGCCTGCAGAGAAACACACAGGTACAATTCAACGTTACTCAGGTGGCCAAACAGGAGGGGCGAAGCGCGATTCGAAGCCAGCCTCTATTGAGGATTGCTGAAGCTGGGCAGCTAAAGCACGGAGCTACGAGTCATAAGTGGTCCCTGTGGGCTCTGAAACATCAAAAGTGCCAATAAATGCTACTGGCCTTCCCGTCAGGGAGGGGAAAATGAGAGATTAAGCATTTCCAGCCCCTAATAGAAATTATCCCAATGAAGAGATCTCATCATCTGTTTAAAGATGCATACTGATTATTATTAGATTTTGGTCTAATGATTAAGGCACCAGGCTAGAAGCCAGGAGACTGGTGAGTTCTAGACCCGCCTTAGGCAGGAAAAATGCTGAGTGACTTGAAGCCAGTGACTCTCTCTCAACTCAGCCCACTTCATAGGGCTGTTGTTATGGGGAAAATAGGAGGAAGGAGTCCCGGGTATGTTTTCACCAGGTTTTTCTTATTAAAATAATAAAGGCAAGATAGAAATCAATATCCGTCTGTGTTTATCTGTCTGTCTGTCCTTCTGTTCTTCTGTCTGTCTGTCTGTCTGTCTGTCTGTCTATCTATCTATCAGCAAATCATTCTGTCTGTCTATCAGCAAATAAATCTATCCATCCATCCATCCATCCATCCATCCATCCATCCATCCATCCATCTATCAGCAAATCATTCTGTCTGTCTATCTGTCTATCAGCAAATCTATCCATCCATCCATCCATCCATCTATCTATCTATCTATCAGCAAATCATTGTCTGTCTATCCGTCTATCAGCAAATCTATCCATCCATCCATCCATCCATCCATCCATCCATCCATCCATCTATCTATCTGCAAATCATTCTATCAGCAAATCATTATATTTATCAGCAAATCTATCTATCCATCCATCCATCCATCCATCCATCCAAATCATTCCACAGTATAAATTATTGTTTTTAAAACTTCCTTTGGTTCGCCTGCAGCCTCCTGCCAACAATATAAATTACCTGAACCAAGCCCTCGTGTTTCAGATTCAAAAACATCTTACTACTACGGGTAGTCCTCAGCTTACAACCACAATTGAGCCCAAAATTTATGTTGCTAAGTGAGAAATTTCTTAAGTGAGTTTTGCCCCATTTTATGACTTTTCTCGCCACGTTTTGCTAAGCGAATCAAAGCAGTTCTTAAATTAGGAGCACGGTTATTAAGTGAATCTGGTTGCCGTCCCCCCCCCAATTGACTTTGCTTGTCAGAAGGTCGCAAGAGCTTCGGGATACTGCAACCGTCATAAAGCTGAGTTAGTTGTCAAGCATCCGAACGTCAATCATGACCATGGGGACGCTGCAATGGTCCTAAATATGAAAAATGGACATTAATCACTTTTTTCAGTGTTATTGTAACTTTGAATGGTCACTAAACGAGCTGTTGTAAGCCGAGGACTACCTGTACTGTTCTGTCTCAGAATCAATGAATCCAAATATTACAAGGTTAAGCCTGTCTCCATTGCATCAGGATTAAAGCCAGATCATATTATCCCCTGCATAAGCATCTTCTCTAGCATGTTGTGACTGATGACTCAAGAAAGCAAAAACAAATGTTGGTTTGTCACAACTTTTGAATGTACAGAACTGTAAAAAATGCAGGTCTAACTTAGAGACAGTCCACTTTGCTGAAAAAACAACCATCTCAGAGACATAAATTAGTCAGTCTGATCGATCATAAATCAAGTCTGTTTATTGCTGAGACAATTCCGCTGAATGTCAGGTTAAAGGGTGGCCATCTGCAAGCAATGAAGTCTAAATAAGTGAAATATATTGTTTCAGACAACTTATTTCTAGCTGGGCTTCACGGTTCCTCTCATTTGCTCCAAACGATCCACACTCTTGTTTACCTCGACATTGTTCTACACACCCACGTAAAAATGCTTGTTACTTCTAAATCTCCTCATGAAACAAGACCAGCAAAAATAATCCTCTATAATCAGTTCTGGGATGCAAATAAAGCCATCCTCAACTGGGGGATCCTGGGTTCGTTTCATGTAAATAAAATAAATAGGTGGAACACTTAAAATAGAAAAAGGAAATTATCCTTCGATGATCATGTGTCTAAAATAAATCGTTCCCAGGTGAGAAGTCACATGGGGTTTTTGTTAGTACTGCTTTATCTGGTCTTTGGTAAGACCACACTTGGAATAATGCATCCAGTTTTGGTCGCCAGGACGGAAAAAAAGATGTTGAGACTTTAGAAAAAGTGCAGAGAACAAAAAAAAAAAAAATTATTAAAGGGGCTGAAGGCTAAAACATATGAAGAGCGGTTGCTGGAATTGGGTATGTCACTCTAGCAACCTTAAACACTCAAAGAGCCACAAAGTTCCTAACCGGAAGCCGTCTCCCCCCCCCCCTTCAATTCTGGAGCCGACCAGAAGTCAGTTCCCCCACCGTAGATGTTCTGTCCCTGTCCCACACATGCACCCCCACAGACGGCCCGGAGTTAATAAGCCACATGACAAAGTCTTTGAAGATAAAGCTGGCAGCAACCCAGTGGCTAGCTGCCAATTCAGACTTTACTCACACAAAACAAAGATTAGACTGCCAGCATTCCGATAAAGCAGGCAAAGTTTCAACAATACAAGGATTAGTCCAAATGCAGTCCGACAAGGCAGGCAGAAGTCCAGTAACGCAGAGATCATGGATTATTTCTAGTTTTTGCTCGTCACAAACTGAACCGGCCACCACACCCACATTTATACCCTGTGGGGTGTGGTCCAGTGACTCAGCTAATCTCTGGCACGCCTTCCCCTCTGCTGCGCATGCTTCTCCCTGCGCCTCTGCCGAGGGTCCAGCCAGCACTTGTCTTCTTCATCGCTGTCCACCTGTGGCTGCAGGGACGTGCTTGGCTCTGGGCCTATCTCTTGGCCTTCGGTGTCCTCCGGAGGCATTGCCAGAGAGGAGGGTCCTGGAGAGGGAGGCCTTGCCAACTCCTCTCCCTCACTCTCAGAGTCTGCATCTGTCGATAGCCCAGGCTCAGGCAACGGAGCCACAACAACAGAGTCTCCTCCTAGCATGGCATCCTTTTCCCTCTACCTGTCCCAACCGAAAGCCCTATCAAATTGTGGAGCCGACCGGCAACAGGGAACCACAGGAGAGGGATGAAAGAGCCACATGTGGCTCCAGAGCTGCAGGTTGCTGACCCCCTGCTCTAGCCTAACGAAGAGAAGGACTATGGGTGACATGATAGCAGTATTCCAGTATTTAAGGGGCTGCCCCAAAGAAGAGGGAGTCAAGCTATTCTCCAAAGCACCAGAAGGCAGGACGATAAGCAACGGATGGAAACTAATCAAGGAGAGATTCAGCCTAGAACTAAGGAGAAATTTCCCGACAGTGAGAACAATTAATCCGTGGAACAACTTGCCTCCAGAAGTTGTAGGTGCTCCATCACTGGAGGCTTTTAAGAAGAGACTTGTTTGGAATGGTATAGGGTTCTGCTTTTTGAGCAGAGGGTTGGACTAGAAGATCTCCAAGTTCCCTTCCAACCCTGTTATTCTGATTCAATTTATGTTGTAAGATGGCTCTCCAATTTTTTTTAAAAAAACACCTTTGGTTTCTCTCTAAAAGATGCATATAGAATAAGTTTTAGCCACACTGCACTGTGGATGGTGGATTTAGAGACATGTGTTCTGGACCATGAGAAGGAACAAGGATGGAGAGATTAAATGACCAAAATAATTGTGGTACAAAGAACTCATCTCCTCAGCCTTGAATACATTCAACCAGGGCTTACAAATGTTGGCTTGTGGATGAGATCTGTAGGCCAGGTTTCTCCACCCCTGGATGATGTGTAAGCAATCCCATCAAGAAAAAGAGCCAATATACTAAAATTATTTGTGGCCATAATTAAATAATGCCGTTAATTTACAGGGGCCAGGACATCTGGAACCCGCCATTTCTAAGGGCTTTAATTCAAGGAAAAGACACCCAAAAAGCAACGTACATCAATATTTTAGTTTCCCTCAGGCCGATTTCAAATACTTCAGGAAAATAAAAGTTTAGAAAATGCAATCAGTTCGTAACTGCCTAGACCTCAAAAGTTGGTCCAGGGGTGAAATCCAGCAGGTTCTGACAGGTTCTGGAGAACCGGTAGCGGAAATTTTGAGCAGTTCGGAGAACCGGCAAATGCCACCTCTGGCTGACCCGAGAGTGGGGAGAGAATGGAGATTTTGCAATATCCTTTCCCCAGGAGTTGGGAGGGAATGGGGATTTTGCAGTATCCTTCCTCTGCCACACCCACCAAGCCACGCCCACAGAACCGGTAGTAAAAAAAAATTGGATTTCACCACTGGGTTGGCCCACTTCTCTAGAATAGAATAGAATAGACTTGAATAGACTTGAATAGACTTGAATAGACTAGACTAGACTAGACTTGAATAGACTAGACTAGACTAGACTAGACTAGACTAGACTAGACTAGACTAGACTAGACTAGACTAGACTAGACTAGACTAGACTAGAATAGAATAGAATAGAATAGAATAGAATAGAATAGAATAGAATAGAATAGAATAGAATTCTTTATTGGCCAAGTGTGATTGGACACACAAGGAATTTGTCTTTGGTGCATAATGCACTACCTTCAACAGGCCACACTGATTGTAGGCCCAGTTCAAACTCATTTAATCTTCAAAACCACACCCAATCTAATGAGAAGGTTCCACCCCATTTATGTATTTTAATATATTTCTATTCCAGTTGTTCCTCTTTCTCCCACATAAAGCTACCCAAATGCCTTAGCCCATTTCAGAACTGAAATCTGTTACCAATCTAAATCAGATCCATTTTATTTTCTCCTTGGACGGCACTAAAAATTTCACATGTGAAGCAGGGAATGGAAATTATTATTTTTTGAAACAAACGCCTACAGGCTCAAAACAGGTACACACTTTTACTCAAAGGGCAATTTTCTTTCCTAGCATTTTCTGGCATGATCACGTG